AGCAGTGTCTCGAAATCTGCTTTCTTGACTATGGGCCTCGGGGTGCATAAGCATATGTGCCCTGAACAAGTGGTCAGCTTGGGGTCACAAGACGCCCAGTGTTTAGTCTCGAAACAAACTTGGTACTCATTTTATCGACCCAAGGTGTGAAAGCCTGAGTCGACCTTGCCCAACCCAGATATTGAACCCCCGGAACTGTGGTGCTGCTGCACTAGCCACTGCGCCGACTGGCCTCTGTGAAAATACATAAGTACAGTCAAAAGTCGTTAATTCGGACACCCATAATCCGGAATGATCTATAATCCGAACCTCAAAGCTACAAACTTTCTGCGCATGCATCGCGTTCACGCATGCGCACAGGCGTTTACGAGAGCGCATAAGACCCTTACGGCTGCGAATATGTTTGTGCGCATGCGCGTTTAATGTGTAACGGAGTTATACGCTAAGCTAAGATTATCTAATTCAGTTGATGTTGAAGATTGCGTTGTTCCTTAATCTTCGAAATGGATCCGGCTTATTATTTTTTGCAGACTGTTAGAGCAATTTTATAAAAGTAAGCTTGAACTTTCGATTATGTCAAATAGAATTTCCGATATATATTTACTACAAAGCGAAAGTATGTTTTGAAATCCGAAATCTGTTTATCAATTTCACGCTGCTCTGCGGCAGAGGGGCAGAAACGTCATTATTAGATTATGATAGATTAGAAAGATTATGTCAAATAGAATTTCCGATATATATTTACTAATATGTAATTTGTATCTACAAAGCGAAAGTATGTTTTGAAATCCGAAATCTGTTTATCAATTTCACGCCACGGATTGGAAGTTGATCTGTCAGCACTATCTTTATCTTCAGGGCAGATGTTTTTATTTTATTTGGTTTATGATTCCGTACTAAGTGTAGTATTTCATTTCGATGTACTCCGTCTTTGATATGATTTAAATCAAAGTCCTCGTCATTATAATTCACTTCCGATAGTGAAGAAAGTGACACAGAAGTTATTGAAAACGAAAAAATTTCGATTGACAAATTAGTCGGTATTCTCAACACAGCAATTATAGGACTTGAACAGCGGAACTTTGTAACTAAACAAGAAATTATGTCTGTTTAATAGAATTAAAGAGAAAGTATTATCACATGAAACAAAGCAACTTACATTGAAAGAAATGTTTAATAAAGTAAACAAATAAATATTAAGCTTTTTCTTTTTGTAAATTTTGATACCCTTTAGATCATGATTGTTCTTTATTTCATAAATTACAGTTTCATATTTTTAATTTTGTAATTTCTGCATGCCATCTTACCAGATTTAAACTGATGATCTATAATCCGGAAAAATCGATAATCCGGAATCGCCGAAGTCCCAATGAGTCCGGATTAACGACTTTTGACTACAAAAAATAATGCCTATCATTTATATATATAATTATATAGTTATATGAAAAATTGCATTTTACATTATAAATCATATTTAAATAAATAATAGGATGTGATATGAGTTTAGATAATTCAGTATAATTTGATATCAAATGAAAATATTGAAACAATTTTTTTTAAATCTACATTTAATCAAACAGTACTCAAGAATAATTCAGAATGTTATTTATTAGTCTTTCTTAAATGTTCTAATTAATCTTCTTTTTATTATTCTACTTATTTTTAATCTGTCAAGAAATCTTATTTTTAAACAATATTCTAAAAAGGAAGTTTTTCTTATTTGTATTTACAGTTTGAAAAAAAATTGCATCATGGTGATTAGTATAAAGGAGTGTTGTGGAAATCAGCTGAAATTTCAGAACAGATGCCAATGTAACATGAAAAATTGAACTTGTATAACATTTTAAGATTGAATTTGAAAGGTCCTGTATAAAATTCTTAGCTAAGTCACTCTTTCATGCAAATAATGTATTGAATATAACATTTTCGTATGATTTCTCATGAGAATAAATAAGCACATGTATTGCTAAATGACCTTGGAATTTAAATGAACTGTCATATTTAGAACATGTTTATGATTTCTTGTGGGTGTGGATAAAAATACATTTGTTAAACACTCATTTAACTGAATAACTAGTTACAAATATCACATTCATGTCATTTCTCATTGTTATGGGTAAGAATTTGTATCTTTAATGCACTTGTGTGTGCAGATGATTTACAAACATTGCATTCATGCAGTTTGGCTCCAGTGTGTGTAAACATGTTTATTTAAATGATGCCAGCATGCAAATGATTCATCACATGTAACTTCTCTTCAGTGAGTGTGATTAAGATATTTTTTATATGACTTTTGAGAGCTCATGCTTGTGGTCTCTTACTTGTATAGATAGCAGTATGTGTCTTTAACATACCTGCATGTGCATATACCAACTGTATGATTTCTTTCTGCATTTGCTAAAAATGTCTCTGTCACTTCAATAAAACTGACATTTATGTATACCAATGGTATTCAAACTTTATGGCAATGTAACCTCTTAAAAAGGCAAACCCTAAAAAATAATTTTACGACTCAAATCAAAGCTCCAAATTCATTGCATAGAATTAGAAAATTTTATAAAAAAAGTATTGATAAAATGAATTATTCTGGAATTTTGTTTGATAAATTTACTTCTGTTTATCTCATCCACAACCAAAATCAACAAGAATTAAGTACAGTACAAAGTCCGTAATCCGGACTCCATTATCCGGAATGATCTATAATACGGACCTCAAAGCAGTAAAGCGTTTACCCATGCGTGCTTCCGATAGTGAAGAAAGAATATAACAGAGAACGTTATTGAAAACAAAAAAATTTCTATTGACAAGTTAGTCGGTATTCTCGACACAGCAATTACAGGACTTGAACAGTGGAACTTTGTAACTGAACAAGAAATTATGTCTGTTTATAGAATTAAAGAGAAAGTATTAGCACAAAAAACAAAGCAACTTAAACAACTTACATTGAAAGAAATGTTTACTAATGTAAACAAATAAATATAAAGCTTTTTTTTTTTTTTTTTTTTTGTAAATTTTGATACCTTTTAGATCATAATTGCTCTTTATTTCATAAATTAAGGTTTCATATTTTTAATTGTATAATTTCTGCATGCCATCTTACCAGATTTAAATTGATGATCTATAATCTGGAATTGCCGAAGTCCCGACAAGTCCGGATTACGGACTTTGTACTGTATTAGATTGTACAATTTCTAAAAAATTATAATGTGAACTGTAAAAAATTGACTGTGGTTTTGGAACATGGAAAGCATGCAGTTTATACTCTTAACTTTATGGAGAAGTCAATGAGCAGTATGCAAGCATTCTGCATTAAATAATAAATATGAATGTTTTTAATCAACTAATTATAAGTTTGAGTTTTTAAGACTGTGCATTGATGATTGTTATCGAACATTAGCTATAACTCCGATAGCGATTGCGATTTTGTTATTTTAAAATATTTTGTGTTCATTCACACTGATTGATATTTTCTGTTGCTGTAAAAAGTAAAACATATATCATGTATAACTGTTTTTTATTGGATAATGTGTGAATCCTTAGTTCAAATTTTCATAGCTCTCGACTGGATGTATAGAAGTAATTGCTTACATCAAACAACAGAGGCCTTTTCACTCATAGTAACAGCTTTTTCTTTTATATCTAATACAAGTAACTTGAAAGTATATTATGTACACCTTTTCTTTTTAATAGAAGCTTACAGTATGTTCTTTTAAACAAATAAATAACATGCATTTCTCAAGCTTACTTACACATTCTCCCCCCCTTTTCAAAATATGATTTAGAGATTTCTGATTTATGACAGCAATGTAAAATGTATGCACAAATAGTAGATTATATTCAGGAAGTAAAAAAAAAATATTATTGATCAAGAAAATGATTCACAAATGCAAGTGTTTTTTCAGCCGAAAGAGCGTTAGCTCAGAAGGGCTATTTCATTTTGGCATTTTGCGTTGATTCACTATAAACGGCAATCTTTTTTTTTTAAATTGTTGCCACCAAATATTAAAGCTTTGTATTATATTTAAATAATGAAGAATCTGCATAAATGCATGTCTCTCACACTAATAAAACGATACCTAGAGACATTGAATTTTTTAAATAACGTACGTCTCCACCCAAATATAAACACCTGGAAGCCCGAATTTGTTTTATTATCTGTTTAATATTTTGTAAAGCATTCACGAGTTTTTGATTAAGAAACGGAACTATTTCAAAGTGAGCAATGGCAACACTGTATGTGGAGAGGGGGGAAAATTTTTTATGTCTAGTGCACAAGACTGTGCGTCAAATTCTAAAGATATGCTCATTTTAAAATTTTGCAATATTGCTGCTGAACTGAATTTTATGGTTTAAGTGCAAAGAACATGATATTTAATAAATAATGGTAACACACAAAACATTTTAAAAAATCCCCTTTGGACATAATATAAGATCTGAAAACTTAAAGAATTTTCTTAAAATTTTATTACTACAGAAATTATTTTGCCGATTGACTGATTGCTTCACAGTTGCAAAAATTCACGTTAATAAATTATAAGATACATGTTATAGATAAAATATTTTGAAGTACAAATATCTAATATTTTTTCTGTAGCATTTGGTTTTATTTCTTAATTCTAATTTTCTTCATGCAAATCAGTTAAAAGTTTTGTAAATTGAAGCAACTTTTTGAAATAGATTATTGGACTTGGAAGAGGATCTCCATCCATACTGTAATATTCTTTCTCAATCTCTTTTTCTTATTTAAACATACAATGTACAGTTGAATTTAACGAAATGAATGTAATATGATTTTGTTGAATATTTTTCACATATACAGAATTTAAACAAAAATCCAGTTGCATCAAATCACATTAATATAATTAAACAATGTTTAGTCTTCCTAAAGTGAAATACTGTTATTTACATAATTTTGGAATGTAAAAGAAATAAAGCTAAGCATTTACATAGTTACAAAAAGTATGCATATGCGGTACATTCACTAATTATAGAGACTGGAAATATCATCATACAACTTTATTCTAATTTACATTCCATAACAATTTAATATACATTAAAAAATTCTTAAGAGCAGTGTAGTGAAATACATTATACATATACAAACATGTACTATTTAAAGTTTGAACAGCATTTCTTCTTTCCATATACATTTTTTTCCCGTCTGCATACATAGTTGAATATCCATACCATCCCTTAAATTTTGTCACTCAGCATTGTTCAAAATGCCACTGGAAGCACATTGTTGCATTAAAAAAAATCACTTCTTCCTAAGTAAAACGAAATAAAAAAATTAAAACATATTCTTTTCATTTAACTTTATTTATAATTATCATATGTGCAAGAAATTATTTTTTATCCTAAAACTAATAACTTTATACAGCAATAATCTATTCTTTCAAAAATAAATGCTTAAATGTGCTGAATTCTGATTATTTGTTTACAGATTATGTATTCAGTGACTCCTTTTTTTTAAAAAAAAAATAGTATTTCGAGACTGGTATTTGAAGAAGCTAAAACTTTTCAAACAAAATATGATTTTTGATACTATGATTTATTTCATTATTTAAGATACAAAATAAAGTTGGAAGCATAACATAATATATATCTGGGGAAAAAATTTTATTCCTGATATTATGAAAGAAGAATGTTCTGCTGATGAAAATTAGCAGTATTATATTTTTTATGATTTCTGATTATTAAAACTTTCAAAATCAGTAGAGATACATGGAAAAGTGGTTGCACAATGAAAATACTATGGGAGTTAATAACATTTTATCAGACTAAGACATTCTGGATGCTCATCTTTCAGACGTATTTCAGAGAGAATGGAAAGAAGAAAAATGGCTGCTGGAATACAGAATCAACTTTTTAGATCATACAAGTTAATACTAAAATGAGTCCTATTTTAATGACGCTATAACTTTGTGTGATATTTACGATAATGTCTGAAAAAGTTAACATACTTATCCCTGAGAACAGAACATATGACTCTCAGCTTGAAAATTGATAAAGTATTTTAATACGCATGCTCTTTTAAAACTTCTGATGATTTTTTTTTTTTTTTTTTTTCTTGGAGTATGCAAGTCATTTTGCATAAAGTCTTCATATTTGTACATTAAATTAGCATAATTAATCAAGACCTCAATGTGTTTATGTGACTTTTGTAAACATATGAACTAAAAAATTTCTCACAGAATGTTTTCCACTTAAACACAATTTCATAACTCTAAAAGATTTTTAGAAGCCTAAAATTTAAGAAATTTTGACATAAAAAGAATTTAACTTTGATTTATAGGTAATTTCTTAGTATTCTGCTGTCTCGGAATATTTGGCAAGCCACCAGCAGTGCAAAAAGTCTTCAATACAAAAGAGTGCACAAGAAGACACTTTTAAAATTCTTTTACATATTAAAATTCTTACTGTGCTTATGTAATTAAACCTCTCATTTAATGACATTAAGAAACATAACTTGCATGTAAATTAAAATAATAATTGGAATAAAAAGCATAATTTTATTAATTAATAGTATAAAAACAATATCGTGATGGCTTTCTGGCATTAATCTTTTAAACATTAATTTACAAAGTCAAACAAATAAAACAAAATATCTCTTTGTTCTCTCTCTATATATAAACAGGAAATAGAACTCCAGGAATGGTACAATATGCAACCTATGCAACTCTTTCAAAACAGTTTGTCACATTATACCTGCATTATTATTTGCATTCAGTGCTTACAAATTTAAAAAAAAAAAAAAAAAAAAAAAAAAAAATTAATTTCTTAATTTGTCTCATACAAAGCATTTTTTTTTTCTCAAATGAATTTTATTGGCTGCAGGTCTTTTGCATTTACATTGTTTGACTACGCTCAGGTAAGTGTCATATCAAATCTATTAGTACAGTTTTCTGGATGGCAAGACTTCCACTTGGGTCCGTGACACTTAACCGACACGGACACTTAGCCGGCAGGACATTTAGCCGACAGGTCATTTAGCCGACACGGACAGTTAGCCGACAGGACATTTAGCTGACACGGACAGTTAGCTGACAAGAACAGTTAGCCGACAGGACATTTAGATGACAAGGACACTTAGCCGACAGGACATCTGGCCGACACAGAGAGTTAGCCGTCAGAACATTTAGCTACGGGACACTTAACTGTCAAGACATTTAGTCAACAGGATACTAAGCCCACAGTAACGTTTAACTGGCATGTACCCAATAATTATTTAAACTTACTATCAATTACAAAATTTCACGACTTCTCCATAAGTTCAGTATTTAAGTTATTTTTTCACCTATCAGTAAAATTCATTTTTCGATTCTTATAGATCTCATATGTGCTTTTAATTATTGTGTTAATTTAGCATTGTTTGATATGTATCGTGCTGTTTGGTATATATTGGCCAAACTGAAAAAGCGCCGAAATTTCTTGTCAGGGAATATGAATTAAATTTTGAAAGGAAAAAGAATTTTTTAGCTAAGGTCACTTAATTACATTTGGGATCTTCAAAAATTATCCGTAAAGCTTCTTCATTAAATCAACTGGGTTCTTTTGAACACTTTCACATCATTAATATTTTTTCTTGTTTACTTAACGATATTAATTTTCCAATCTCGCTCTTCCAAATGCTTTCAAATTTCTAATACCTTTACGTTTCATTACTATTTTACTCAATACATCATGTTACATTCTTTTCTTTACAAAATCATTTCGCTCCTCGCACAAATAAAATTTCCTTTCCCTGTCATGAAAAAATCTAAATAATGCAATAAAAATCTCGGAAGAGAAATCGGAGGAATCTGCAGATGGAGGAGCACCAAGTAGGGCGGACCAAAGCGAGACATCCTGAAAAGTCACCTTAATGTGGTGCCATCTATCAAAGCTAGATTTAACTAGATCAGTCATGTAACTATATAATATTATGTACACTGTTTTGAAAGTCGTGATGTGTAATTTGCAATATAATATGTTATATTGTGTCATGTTTTTCTCATAAAATGTAACTTTCTCAATATCTGTTAAAAATGTATAAATTTTCATTTCACTTTTCATTAACTTTTTTCTCCTTCACGTTTCTGTTATAGCTACATGGTAATAGGGAAATGTTTGGTGTCCATTCTCCTGAATGCATTTATAAAGTTCTAGCCTAAAAAGGCAATTTTATTGAAAGAGACTGGTTATATATTAAGTAAAACAGTCATTCTATTTCTGTTAGACCGAGCAGCAGCCGAGCGGTAAAGTCACTGAACACTGGCAGTTCGGTCTGAATTTTGAATCCTGCGGTTTCCCCCATGTGTAAGACGTATACGAGCCATTTTTCCTCAGAAAGTCCTCCACGAAGGTATTCCTCCCATTAGGCAGATAGCCATCTGGCTTTGCCGTAATTACATAAACCAAACCTACTTCTGGCCACAGGCCATGAGGTACGAATTCCCGTGCCAAAGTACTATCCCATATTAATAAATATGCGATGCTTAACCTGTAATTGTATAGGGTGTAAATAGCATTTTAGATAAAAAAAAAAGGTAGTTCCAGTATGGTGAGGAGTAGGGCGAATCAATCTACTTTCTGACAGGGAAAGGAAATTTGATTAGTGGGAGGAGCGAAATGACTTTATACAGGAATGAATGTAGTGTGATGTGTTGAGCAAAGTACTAATGAAATGTGAAAGTATTAGAAATTTTAAACCATTGGGAAGAGTGAGACTCATCGTCAGCTTAATGTCATGTTGGCTAACTGTCCGTGTCGGCTAAGTGTCCTGTAGGCTAACTGTCCTTGTCGGCTAAATTTCCATGTCGGCTAACTGGTGTCAGTTAAGTGTCCGTGACCGCTTCCACTTCATATATGGAAATATTCCACTGCATGTTATTCTGTAGAAAAAAGGCCTCAAAATCTGTTCATTATTCAATGAGAAGAGAGAGAGCAAGAATGGTTAATTTAAACATGGCTTAAATGCTGTGAAACAGAGGGGGATACCTATATATACACTGGTGTGCAAAAATTAAGGACAAAGTCGAAAAATTAGCATATCAGCTGAACGAAGAGGCAGAGCAGACAGAAAGACCAATCAGGAGATTAAGTAAGGTGATGTACGGTAGCACATGCGCAGATATGCAGGTAGACATAATGGGGGAGCGTCTGAGTAGTATAAAGCATGTTGTCGATGTAAGATCAGTATTTCTGGCAGAGATTGCACGTCGTATAGCAGTTAAAATCACACCGAGTTGCTGCCTCAGCGAGAAATGGCGAATAATCAATCTGTTAGACAACATCTGGATGCTTTTACCCGAGGTCGAATCATTGGGAAGTTGGAGGAAGGCCGCAGTGTGACAAGTGTGGCTGCAGAGTTCGGAATTGCTCACAGCATCGTTTCATGACTTTGGAGACAATTTCAAACTACAGGAACAGCTATCCGGGGGTTTAGTAGTGGTCGCCCACGAGGAACCAACCCGCAGATGACCGGTATATTGCCTTACAGGCCAGAAGAAACAGGCGGCAGACAGAGGGAGAAATCGCTAGACACATGACACAGGCGACTGGACAACCGATATCACGTTTTAACCGTGGCCAGAAGACTGCACGGTGGTGGTCTGTTTGTACGACGCCCTGTACGGTGTGTACCTCTAACGCCTGCCCATCGGAGAAGGCGTTCTCTGTGGTGCCAGGAACACCGGAATTGGAGAGACAATGAATGGGGACGAGTACTCTTTACAGATGAGAGCAGATTGAGTAGCGATTCTCATCGCATATTCATCTGGAGAGAGCGGGGAAGCCGCAATCATCCCTCGAACATCATTGAAAGGGGCAGGTATGGAGGTGGCGGTGTTCTCGTTTGGGGAGGCATCATGCTTGGTAGTCGTACAGACCTTCACATCTTCGACGCAGGTTCAGTCAACGGGACCCGTTATTGTAACGAGATTCTTCTTCCATATGTGCATCTTTTTAGAGGCGCTATGGGTTCGCAGTTCCTTTTCATGGACGACAATGGACCATGTCATCGCACAGTAGCTGCCGAACAGCTCTTAGAGAGTGAGGATATTGAACGTATGGATTGGCCGGCACGATCTCCGGATTTCAATCCCATCGAGCATGTATGGGATTTTCTAGGCAGACGCTTGGCAGCTCGTACTTTACCACCAGTAACGATTCCGGAGCTTCGATTGGCGCTGCAAGACGAATGGGCAGCAATGCCTCAACAACTCATTGACACCCTCATTCTCAGCATGGGCAGACGCTGTGAAACCTGCCTAGCAGTCAGGGGAGCTCATATCCCCTATAAAGACCGGATGTTTCTTGCTGGACACCCATCACAGGGATGTTTCAGCCTTCAGTCGCATTGCGCTCCATGCTACTTTTTCAATAAAGCTTCTTTTTATCCCTCTGATTTCTCTTTTTAGTAAGTGTTGCTTACATTACTCATGTCCTTACGTATTGGGGATCTAACGGTATTAAATGTGTTGATTTGGAAAGCTTTTGTACAAAGTTATATTGAAAAAATCATCTCGTCCTTAATTTTTGCACACCAGTGTAGAAATTTATGCTGAAGTCAAATGGTACAACGTTTGGCGCAAATTTGCAAAAACATGTCTCATTTTTTTCCCAAGGCTGTGAGATGAATGAAATTAGATTTATATTTCAATATTTATTTTTATAAAGTTTCACTTGGTTAATAGTTTAATGTAGATGGTATGTGGAGGCTGCTTGTCTGAAAAGAGATATCTTAAAAGAGAATCTGACTTTTTAAATAATTATTAATATCTTACTATTGCTCAATTACAGTAATGAACTCATTTTTTGTAAACTGGTTCTTTTTTTTAAAAAAATTAAAAACTGGCTTTCAAGTATATTGGTTATTTGCATTTTATATTATTAAATCCTTTCCTCATGATAACTGACATATCCCTTTTCATTCTTCATATTACAGATTACATAATTCATAAATGTTCTTCAGATTATATGATTAGCATGCAATAAAACTGTGTGAAAGTATGATAATCAGCTGCACATAGATTTAAACAAGTCTTAACTATACATAATCTAGAAATGCTAAAATTTCAATTATGAAGTTTTGCTGTTTATTAAATTTTAGATAAAAAGTAATTAAATATTCACACACATACTATATTCTTAAGGATGGTAGGATATATGAAATATTATCCAATTCAGATAATGTGAAAAGAAAAACTTACATTATTTTTGATGGAAGACCATGGCATTCAACTGATACTGTGCACTGTAAAATAATAATATTTTAATAATAATTAATATGTAATAAAAAAATTAAAAAACTGAAATAATTATAAAAGTTAACCAATTTCATTATTTAAATAGTAAAATAGGGAGAATTATACTTAATGAAAATAATATATTATAGTAATATATTATACTTATTTAATAAAATTGATGTTCCAAATAAATATAAAAAAAAAACAAAAATATAATATAATAATAATAATAATAATAATACTGAAAGAAATAACTGATTTGATTTAATTAAAAAATAAATGAATTTAAGGAATAAGAGAGCACAAAAACATCAAACTGCTAATAGACATAAAGCAAATTATTGCCATCTCAGAAATGAACTGTAGTCTTGAAAAGGTGTAAAACAACATTTTTATCAAAATAGGACTTGAACATAACAGCACATTTTGTGCTTAACAAAGCAACGTCCGCTTGTGGCGATAAAACTGAAGTAACAGTGAAATTTAAAATGTAGGGTAGTAGTCAAAGACACCAAAGTAAATTTAAATCGAAGTTGGCACAAAATTTCAACCAGTGTAACAATTTAAATGATGGCAGCTATAATGCAAAGCTGAATAATTACAATCTTATCAGAGCTAGCGAAACCTAGTAACATGGCCTCAAGAGGCAGAAACACGCTCTATTTTACAATCCAAGAACTACATCTTAAATATTCTCAAATTAATTTGCATTCTGGTGAGGAAACGGAAAGGAAGAAAAGATAGTAAAGGTTGAATTTATAAATAACTGGTAATGCAAAATATCAGTAACTTTACAAGATTTTAACGTAGTTGCTTCATGCAATTACAATGGTACAGACTGAGATTTTTAAACTCAGGAATTATATCATTCATATGCCAGTGTTTACAGCTTTCTCACTTTAGCTTTTCAGATGAATATGGATCTTCATTGTGCACCCTGCTCTTTAATAGCCCATACTGAAAGATCACAACTCTAGGCTATATGGAAGTCATTCAAATGTCTTTTCTAACGTTCATTCACCAAACATTATTTGCCAAGAAAAAACATTTTCAATGCTGTTTGTTTAAAGATTACCCTGTTTGAATTAGCAATGATGAATCATATTGTGAACAACTTACAGTTGTAAATTCTCATCCCAATACAATAACAATACCTTCTAGGAATACTTAGCCATTTACAAAATACTGCACATCCTATGAAAAGAAACAAAAGTGGTATGATATTGAGGTGTAAATTCCGAGTTCTTTATATTGCTAATGTAGATATTTTAATTAATTTTCCCATTTTCTTTCATTCTCAATGTGCAATTTACAAAATTTATTAGTTTTTGACATCTCTTCTTTAGAGACAGATTCGACCTGTAGCTAAAACTGGTTCTTCCAACATGTCGCCTTCACATGGCGAACAAGCATTAACTGCCTCTTGGAATTGGAGGCAGAATGTTCCTACCTCTCTGAAGTAGGGCAAATGGGGAGATTTCCCATACTGCACTGCACGATTGGCAGTTTACTTAATTTTAATAAACTACATAGCTGATGTGCAACTGACTGCTCATTGGGCTGTTAGCAAAAAATTGCTTTGATAGATATCTGAGGATGCGGTATCATCTAAAAAAATTAGGTGGAACCATATCGTTTCTCCTCAATACACACAGTGGCTGTGAGAATGAGTGCTGCTTGTGAGCGGGGCTACAGAACAGTATCTTTCACCGAAATAATCTCGCAGACTAATGACAGAAATAGTCATTAGTTTTCAACAAACTTTCATTAAATTTCCAATTGTAATGAATACTTTCATATTCTTTTTAATTTAAAGGAAAATTTACTTAGGCAATTTACATTTTTGTTTCATCATAACATAATGCTCGTTTCCAAATCCTACATTTTCTACATGAGACTGACTGAAGTTTTGCTGTAAAACTAAAGAAAGTGGAATACAGTTATTTCTGCTAGTTAAATCAACATCTTTTTAGGCTTAAAAATTTTCTCAACGAGAGGAAGGGCGGTGGAACTTACCTTAAATTTTTTATAAATATGGAGGAATTGTCTAACGAAATCAATAGAAATGCAACTGTGAAAATAAACACTAATACCATGTACCTAGGCTACTTTACAAATAAAACTGCTTAACGTTTCTTTAGACTTATTCTATATTATTCAGCACTTGTTTGCAGATCAACAAAATTTTCATAATTTATATAAATTTTGTATGAGCAATATAAACATTTCATAACTTACTTTAAAAAAATAAGATGCCTACAAATCATTATACTCTGTTTTTCAGCAGAAATATTCTTTTTGTAATAATAATTACCTATTATATTTTACCATAAATGTTTACCATATAGTAAATGAAAATTATAATTTCAATAGCACCTTAAGTCCTTATTTTTAATTTGGGTATTTCCATCCTGTATTCTAAAAATAGTAATAACTATTTCTGATCTGCATCATTTCCAGATCAAACCATATAATATGGCTTGCATGATGCTGATGACATAGCTAATTCGGAGCTTAAACTCAACATTTCAAGAACTGAAACTTTTGTCTTGGTAAACTGCCATATTGGATAACTGTGCACTTTTACTTCTAGCTCTCTTGCAATTAAGATGATGGCATGCTGCTTTCCTTCTTGTCCCAATACTATAAAAAAAATGTAGATGTTCTTGAATAGGCATGATTCAAGTGTCAAGTGAATGGTGGCTGCAAATGGCAATAGAAATGCAATGAACATTTAATCTTCCTTGGCAGCCAAGTTTGCTGTTATTATGGATAAACATCTATGCAATTTTTCTTGCCATTCACTCCCACAAAACAAAAAAAAAATTTTTTTTGACTAAATAATTAAAAGCACAGATAACGAGGGGTTTATGTATTTGCCATGGCAAATGACATAAAGAAAATTAGTCAGCAACTACGTTGTAACAGTGTAATGGAAACTGGATCATTGGGTTCCAGGAGCTATAAGAACAAATAGTGTGAAGGAAATGGCATATAAGTACAAAGTCCAAGATCTGGACTCGTCGATTCCGGATTTGGGGTTTTTTCGTATATTAGATCATCAGTTTAACGCTTGTAAGATGGCGTATAGAAATTATAAAATTAGAAATATGAAATCATGATTTATGAACCGAAGGTTAACAAAATTTATTCCCCCCAAAAAAGCTTAATATTTATTTGTTTACTTTATTAAGCATTTCCTTCAGTATAAGTTGTTTAAGTTACTTTTTTGTGTTAATATTTCTCATTAATTCTGATGTAGACAGACATAATTTCTTTTTCAGTTACAAAGTTTCATTGTTCAAGTTCTGTAATTGTTGTGTTGAGATTTCCGACTAATTTGTCAATTGAAATTTTTTTGTTTTCAATAACTCTCTGTCACTTTCTTCGCTATCGCTAATACTACTTTCTGGATCTAGAACCATACTACAGATTTTGCCATCCGTTAATTGATTGATAATTGGGCAATGTCATCGCAATGAACGCTCTTGTTCTATTATTATTATGTTATATCATCGAAAATATAAATCTCAATGAATTCTTTGAAGCAAAAGACTTCAGAGAAGTCAGAAACTACTTAGGAATCAACATCAAAAAAGATGAAAATGAGTTCTTATCGAGTCAAAAATCAAAAATAGAAAAATTGAAGATCTTACACACCAATGGATACTTCTTATCCAAAACAAGAGGACGTCTCTCCACCAGCGGGCAATACCAAGTACACTCAAGCCATTGGAGCCTTATTATACATAACCACTGTAACCAGACCAAACATTACCCTAGCAGTGAATATGTTAAGCAGGGAAAATGAATCTCCAAATGAGAAGGACTGGAAAGCAGTCCTAAGGATGATTCAATACCTCAACTCTACAAAGGACATTTGCCTGAAAATCGACTCTGATAGCCCACAAACACTTATACGGTTACTGACTATGCATCTGATGTAACTACCAGACGATCAACCGGTTGGAATTTATTTTTCTTAGGAAACAGTCCGATATTCTGGTCCACAAAGAGACAAAATTGTGTTTCCCTATCATCTGCCGAATCCAAGCTTATTTCTGCAGCCGCTGCTGCTCAAGAGCTCAAATGGATATTAGATCTCCTTAAAGATTTTGGACTACCTCAAAAACTACCCATTAAGATATTTGAGGACACAATAGCTCTTATAAAACAGAAAAAAAAAAAAAAAAAAAAAAAAAAAAAAAAATGAATACCAGGCTAAAGCATATTAATGTTAAATATTTCTTTTTAAGAGAAATGGAAGAAAATTATAATAATCGAGATAATACTGCAATACAAATTCCATGATTGCAGATATTTTTACTAAGCCATTGCCCAAACCAAAATTTCTGAAATTAAGAAGATTAAAGGGGAAATTGTTGTAAATTAATTGAACCTTTGAGCAGAAAATAAATAAAATGTTTTTTCTAACTCACTTCTGGTAACCATAGAAATGCCATGACGCGCACATCAACCATGTCAATCGCGTGATATTATTTTATTCCATGATCCTCTTGTTTTATTATTATTAAGCTTCTGTATGTGCTTGTATTAACACTAATGTATTTGTTGCTTATATTATTTTAGTTGCAGTTCAATAAATATGTTATTAGTGTTTAAATCTGCATCTTTTATTGATAATGTATCCCTCATAACATCAATTGAGTTTCGGAGATTTACTGTGCTGCTGAATGCACAAAAGGTAAGCGAAATTTTGCTATCTTTATTTTTCACCAAAGGTGCGTGTGTGTACAAAAAAAGTGTTGGTAATTAAATATTGGAGACTGCCCTGAAAATGCCCATCAGCTGAGAAGTTTTCTGGAACTTTGCACATACTATAGGAGATTTGTGAAGGACTTTTCTTCGATCACAAAATGACAGAGAGCAAAAAGAAGTTCTGGACAAAAGAAAGTGAGGATGTATATGACACTCTAAAGGAAGCTTTAACAGATCCGACAATCCAGATCCTCAGGTCAACAAATCATTTATTCTCAAAGTGGATGTG